GCTGTGGGTTCGTGGCTTGGCCAAGGTGTTGCATGAGTGGCACTGTTGCGACAAACACGTTGTTTTTGCGCAAAAAACACCCATGTCAGAAGACCCTCGTGAACAACTGGGTTAGACATGATGAAACTGGATCAAACAAACAATTTCCCAGCAAAGGGACTCGCTCTTGAGGTAGCTTCACGACCCACTAAACATGATACATACAATGTTCTTCAAGGTGATTTACGTTCCTATCTGGTCATCATTGGTAAGCCAGCTGCCAGGGCCTACCAGGGCTGCCAATTAGTCACCCTGCCTGTCCTTCCCGAAGCTGCCTGGATTTGGGAGCAGCTGTTGGACGGAAGCTCGAGCCCACAAATCACGGCTGGCGACCGCCGGAGTGGCCAGTCCACAACCCCGACACAAGAGATGGATTTGGATAGTTTAAAGGTTATTTGTGTTATTCATAAAATATATAAAAATATATTATATTGGTATTATGATGTATATATTATTATATATTACGGGACTGGAATCTATTGCCGACATTGACCCCTTCAATCTTTTCAACCCACCCATAACCTGATCGGTCTGGCTATGCCAGTCCGTGGAGGTGCTTGGGTATTGGTTTATCATATTCTATCCCTAGGGATCCGCTGCCACCTTCTCAGAGTCTATATGGATCCATAGGGTATTCCAAATTTTGTATGGATTGTCTTGGAGTTCTGCACCCTCCGCATTCTCCACTCTTTCCTGAGTGTTTTCTCACTCCACCCTCTCACACGTGTCACCCATTTGGAAAGAACGAGCATTTGGCTCCGACCTATACTGGCATCAGTTGATGGAACTTGATATCGATGGACACTCTGATGTGGACTCTTGATGATATATTTACAGTACCCCCCGCATTTGAATTGGAACACCCTCTTAAGACATGGGCGGCAAAGAATATCATCAGTCTACATGGCTGTCGCTTTTTCAGTTCTAACCGACACCAGGTGGGTCACCAGGTGAGTCACACCCAATGGTCCTCGACTCCTCAGCCAATGGTCTTCTTGGGGCGAGTCCAGCCAGTGCAGTGTGGTCCTCCAGGGTCGTCGAACTAGGCGGGATCTGCCACGGAGAAGGCATCTCAGGAGCGCAGGATTGATTCCTCGCGCTTCCGGCGGCGAAGGAGCCTTGACCGCTTTCGAACCAAAGGGGCACGGGAAAGAGGACACCTTCGCTGCGGGGCCGGACCAGGACCAGCGGAATGACCAATGGCTCGGGTTGGAGGTGGACATGTCTAGCGCGTAGAGGGCTCCGTCGTGCCTCCGGTTCGGTATGACTGGACGTACCTCCCTGGCACCCGGGTGCCCGGTCGTCACACCGAACCGAAACGAGACGGTGCGACTGGATCCCAAACGGGAAGCTGATGGCTCTTCCAGGAATGCCAGCTCACTCAAGAAGCAGAAACATGCCTTCAGGTCAGGTAAGCCCCACAGAATCTGCTCCCCACAGAATCCAACGGGTGGTTCGGGGTCGGTTTTCTCTCGGTTCGATTCCAACGCTAGAAAACACGATAAAAAACGTAATTAATTAGATAGAGTAGAAAGCCATCAACAAACGGTTCTCTTTGTGTGTGTGGTTTTTCCAATGTTTTTACCTTTTCCTTTTCGAACCCAATGCATCCCAATGCCAATCTTGGGTCCACTCCGAACCTTTTGCGCACTTTTTCCGAGATGCGAAGAAGCAAACTAAGCCCCACAGTTCCAAAGGGATGCTTTTTAAAGTGATTGTTTTTGAGTGGATGTTCTGGACACCCGGTGACACCCGTATACTTCATTAAGCATCCCAACGTGGAACTGCTGGAGTGTCAGTCTAATAATAAGGACTCTCACATCTGGGAGGCCCCCCCAGGCACGCACGAGCGAACGCGTCGCGGCGGACCTGCGTCGCGTCAGCGTCGCGGACCCGCCGCGTTGCTTCGGTGAGGCTCACCGAAGCAAACACCTCGATGTCCACAATGCAACAACGAAACCACTGCTGCTGGTTGATGAATCCACATCTTCCCCATCAGAACATGCTATATCTCATCTCATAAATGAACTCAAGCATACTCAAGCCAGCAGTCCCCTTCGACCGCAGACAGCTGTTTCTGTCCCCCGCGTGCCGCGGGGGCACCGGACCGACCCTGACCTCGATGACTTCGTCAACGAGGGGCGTCCCAACTCCGTGATCGATGCCCGCGGCCGCCGGCGCAGGTCGACCCTGCGCAGCTCCGCAGGTCGCAGCAGTCCTAAACAAAAAGGACCTGGGGTTTGATCAGCCCGAAAGAGGTGTCAGGAGTGTCCATTAACCGACCCAACCGGGAAAAGGCTGAATTTTTTGGGGGGACCTTCTGAAGGTGATGTTCGGGGTCCAAATCACCCTGAAGGATGCATTTCACTTGGACATACTTGGACCAAAGGCTCTCATTTCCGATCCCCCACATGCCTGACCAGTCAACTTCGCAGCTTAGGCCGTGTGGAGGAATGTGACGGCCCCGGGCTCGTCTGGTTGGTGACGGATCCGGGTTTCCATCTTGGCTGTTCCAACAACCATGCAGTATCCGGAAAGTCTGGCCGAAGTCTTCCACAATGGACCATAAGGTGGTCAATGCTCGATGTGGTATCATGTCTTTGTGTTTTCCAGTTGGCTCATTCTACAACCATGGGCGCTGGGCTCTTAACGAACTCGTCATCCCTGGCATCTGCCTGAGTGTAATGGAATAATGGATCTTAACAGCCCAAGGAATGGACCTAGTTGATTTATGCCAGAGATGTCCCCGATAGGTACACTCCACAAGCTAGTGGAACAGTCCGACATCTCAGGAAATCTGGACAAGAAGAGTCGTTAAAACATCCAACTCCTATGGATCCACATACCTTCTCAGAAGGTAATTGAGCCCTCCAAGCCTACATATATAATAGTCTCCAACCAAAGAGATTGAGGGAGGCTGTGCCTTCCATGCATGACGTACAAAGTGGCGACCAGTCGACCTCTTCTTTCAGCGATCAGCGGACGTGGTCAACGATCACTCTAAAGCAAAAAAGACGAGGACATCAGGACCAAGGGAGAGCTTTTCTTCGTTGGACACGGTTGCCTGGCTGCCTTTTCTTTGTTTTGGAGGTTGAGGCAGGGCCAGGTGCAAACACCGCTGAGCTGCGCGCGTTTGATCCCTTGAAGCACCACACCCTCCTCCCTCACCTCTTCGTCAGGCGCTTGAGACTAAAGCGCTCTTAAATGGATCCTGAAAACTCTTGGCCTTACGCCCCGGATGACCACACGATATTTCAAAGAAACACACAATTAGGGTGTGTTGAATCCATGAACATGCACTGCTGCGCTGCTAGAGACAGGAACCGGCCATGCCGAACGAACCGCACAAACAAAGCCATGAACCGCCGGGTGAAGAAGTGGAACTTGATCTGCTCACACGTGCTCATTCTTATCATCGGATTTGCATGGGATGGCCGGATGGCATCTATCTGTGTGTTGAGCCTTTGCTTGCAGTTTCAAAAAGCTCTGACAGTGGATGTCAAAAATCGTACCCAATATATGACACAACAAAACCAATCCCCAAAAAAGTTGAGTCCACACTTAAAAGGAACCAAACACACACCCTGGATTAGAGTTAAGTTGGTCCACTGCAAACGGATGCTTCTTCTGATTTGAGACAAAAGGTCCCATCTCCACTGAAATGCCCTCTGCTACCCTGCCCTCTGGCCAAACGCAGAAAAGAGTTTTGATAGACCAGCCAGGGGTTGGAGGCTCCCTTTAGGTCTCTGAGTTCGGCTCCTTGTTTAATGGGGGAATATGGATGCCCCAAACGACCCTCAGTCGCTCCTTCCTGAGCAACAGCCATATGGCAACGGGATGAACATTATTGTTCCTGGGAGTGATCATCAGATAAGTTCTCCCAAAAGCATCTCAGCTTCATGCTGATGCTTGCTCGGCCAGCTGACCCTCGAATCCCCACTACGCAGCATCAAGCGTGCGAGGTTTCCAGCGAATCCCAAAAACGGACCACACCTCTCCAGTTCGAAAGACACCTTCTTTCCATCAGTTTCAAAAACAAGTATATATAACAAGCTTAACCTTCTCTCTCACCTCCTCATTGCTGTGCTCATGGCCATAACTGGAGACGTATTGAGAGCTTCTACAGATGAGTAGCTCCAACGGCTCGATTCAGCCCTCTTCAGGGCCAATGCTGCCAGCCGACCCGACGCGAGCTTCAAGCTTCCTGGCAGGGGCAACCCTTGAGGAAAAGAGAGCCTTCACCAGGGCCACTAAGCAAACTTTCAGTATACAGCACTATCTTTTTATCCATAGGGCTCCAACCATATACCTTCAGAAGGTGGGCACAACCCCCCCCCAGCACCCATCCTAACCACCTTCTCAGAAGGCAGTTACAGCCCTATATAGGGATCCTCATCTTAAGGGCTTCTACGCAGATTCTCGTCGACTCTCAGATGCCGTGACGGAGTCAATCGGGCCAGTTGGAAGCCTCGCTCCCAAATGATCCCATGCCGGTGCCAAGATGGGCCTACCTTCAATGCATTCTTGCTACACTCACTGGATTTAACACGGTTACGTGGAGAATGGCTCCGAAAGAAAGACCATTTTCCACTACAAACAAGTGGTTTTCCACTTCCATGTTAGTTCCGGGGAGAGTAGTTTTGCTGGTGAATGACCGGGGCATCCTTTTCGCCACCATGGAACCGTTGGGGACTTTTCCACCCAGGTCCTGCAGGGTGCTTCGTCCTGAGCATGGTGGCCTCATGGGACTGGAAGAAGGATATCATGGCACCATCCCTATGGCATCATGGATTCCCTTTCTCAAGCCACCACCCCTATCTATGACTTTGGAGATGCTCAACGTTGTCAAGGAACTGGGAGAAAAACACACGAATAGTCCCCGGAAGAGTTTTCACCCACACAAACCGATTAGAACCTCTTCCCCAAGCAAGCACACCAACCAAGCACCGGGAGACCCCGGCCTAGCTGCGCGGGGCGGGGAGGTCGACCTTGAAACTGGGAAGGCTTTGGCTAAAAGCCCGACCTGGTTGCAGCGGGGTGTGTGTGGGTCACGGGACTGCGGACGTGAGGAAAGGGGGGGGTGGTCACCAGGGTGGTACGGCCAGTGAAGTGACCAGAAGCAGTTGCACAGTGCTTGCTGGCCGAGGACGGATTGAAGAGTCATGAACTGGGGAGAGAAAAGAACAGCTGCTCGCTGTGAGATCTTCTTAGAGGATGTCGAATCCATCAAATGACATTGGTTAGCAAAGGAGTAAGTCCAAGCGATAGCCGAAGGGCCACAGGTCACCAGTGGCTTCAACGGATTCATGCTGGACAAAGCGTTGCTTAAAAAAAACGTCGTGTGATCAAAAACAGCGCTGATCAGCCTCGAGCCATTGGCCTGCAAACCTTGGCAGAAAATCTTCCATCCTCCAACAAAAAGAGGGCAAAAGGGGTTGAATTGGCAGGCAGTGGTCGTAGATTTTCGACAAGCTCCGCGATCCTCAAAGGGTCAACAACATCAAACCATGATAAAACATATAGTGCTCACGAGTTTCGTTTTTCCAGCTGCGCAATGGGGGAGATTC